CAGGTCCTAGAATGTTCAGTATGTGCCTCTCGTGAAGTCGATACAACAGGAAATACTTCCTGGCGATATAAAAAGTCTGGACATTCAGGAGGTTCTATTTCTGGATTTAATTCCGGAGGATCTGTGTCTGCTACAAAATAGGTTGGTAACTGCCTAACATCCGAATATCCTAGAAATATTTCACAGGATATAATTTGTTCGCGCCTCAGATATATATCTGGATACCGTCTTTTAAATCCACTGGAGAAATTCTGAAGGGCAACACTCATCTTGGTACGACCATCCTCTTCCATCATACAAATAAATGTATTTCTTGTAGACTGATCAGCAGGGTAGATTTGGAGTCTGCTACGACGCAAAAGAACTGCATGTACAACATTTTCTTTATTTACTATACAACTTTGTGAATTAAATCCGTGAACTGACACAAATGCTCTCAGATCAGGCAAGGTTGTAGTGTCATTTGACGTCTGCAAAAGTTCAAGTGCTCCCGGTACAAAAATTGTTATGACCCAGGTGCCACCGAGGTCAAACTTGCACACAAGTAATTTCGGAAGATCATCTGACATCTTACTTAAGATATCTTCCCATGAAAATATTTCTTCATCTTGGTTTAGCACTGTGTACATCAAAGACCATTTTGTTGATGATATTTCAGAGTTGAGATTAGCAACATCTTCCGCAGACAAAATGGACGAAGATTGAAGACCAGAATGCCTTCCTTGGATTTGTTCAATGTTATCTGGACAATCAACCATTGCCAATTCTCTCTGTAGTCTCGTGAATGTCGAAAAGTCAATTAGCCGGCAAAATCTCGAAAGCAGATTTAATTTATCATGTCTCTGACACCATTTGTACAGCATCCGAAAAAGTTTAAAATCATCGGCAGGCCAATTGTTTTTCTGTACTAAAGAAGAAATGGTCTCTTCGGACGCGTCCATTATTTCATTTGACAATACAGTTGTTTCTTCACGGATTTCTAGATCATGCCTTAGCATTAGGAGTCTTACGATCCCACTTCTACTACGCCGTAATGGCAAGTCGTGATTGTTAACGTCTATATCGTCAAGAGGAGCAGTATAATTTGCCTTGTAGACAAGTGAAGCAGCATCGACAAAAGTTGAATATTCTTCTGATTCTTCACCATATTCCTCTCTCATCTCCTTCTCGATTTTGGAAACACTTTCTTTGATGTCCCCACTCAAACATTTGGCATTATTAACCATCTTCTCACAAACAAATATCTTTTCACCTTTCCGAGATTTTACCATCAGACTCTTTGGAACTTTTCTAACATTTTCACCAGTTTTGGCTGCGTCAATGGCGTGGTTGAATAAATTTGCGAGAGCCATACATTGAGGTGAATCAATGCCAGCAATATCGGCCCACGTTTCTAGGAGATTTGAAAACTTTCCAACGAGATGTACGTCGTAATAAGCGAAATAACTAATAAGGTAATTGGTAGTTATATTACTCTGTGTTTTCGACTTCCCTCCTAGAGACAATAAATAAAAGATGTTTTGATTATTTAAAATTTCATGACAACACATCTTATATAATCTTTCTACAAAATGGAACAATCAGAGATTTACTTTACTAGTGAACATCTGAAACTTTCATTATTGTTTTTCTTATGCACATTCTAGGGTTTATTCTAATCTCTGGGCTTGAGAAAAGACACAGAGTTGTAAGATTACCTTGATAGGATGTTGGTTTCCAGTGTTGTTTTGGAACCAAATCTGGGTCCCAACAGATGAAGTACTTATCGCCATCCAGGTCACTTCCTGCAATTTCGTCACAGTGGGGTCTTTTTCCTGAATTATAAACACATTTATTATTATATTATTTTTATTATCTCAAAGATGCTAGTTGTTCATTGATTGGTACACAGGTCTATCACACACTGAAAACAAATTGTGATAACAAAGGGGTGTGAGATGTGTAAACATCCAGATGCTGAACAAGCGTTGATGAGTATCGGCATAGAACAGAATCGTTATTTAATATATTTTTAATTACAATGTCAATTCTGCTGTAAAACGTTTATTCATAATATTCAGGCAGAATCATTATTCAGCCACAGGAAAGAATAAAAGCAGAACATGGGCCACTGTCTTTGGACAGATACACAGTAAATGTTTCATTCTATTCAAGTTAATATTGTATAATGAATATTCAATTTAAATGTTGTCAACTGTGTTTTTTTCAGTAATCATTCATTCTAAAAAATTGACTTGCCTTTTACGGGATAGACCACACAGTCAACAAGATGTCTGCAGTGTTTATTGTCTACACATGTTAGTACCCTAATATCGCCAGGATAATAGCTCGGGCTTTTAGCAACGATTACTCTCCCTTTAATAACAACGGGTTTTCCACGTATGGTTGGTTGAAAAAACACAGTGCCTTCTTCGAGTGTGTTAGAGTTATCACATACCCCAAAGACATTCCTTGACAACTCTGCTCTGATGTTCAGGCCTTCAGCTTTAGACTTCTTGGTTCGTTCGAGCTTATCAGAGGCACCAGTTTTTCTATCGTCAAAGACCTTCCTTCGAATGCTCTCTAATTTTTCTCTGATTTCTTGGTTGGAACAGTAATCATCTGTCATGGATATCACTTTTTCGGCAAGATCAGAACGCCCACTTATGTATAAGTGTTTAATTGCTATCCACTTGTCTTTTTCCAGCTGGTGTAGTTCTTCAAAGAACGATGTCTGTAGCTTAAGAAACGCTTTATCCGGAACACCCAGAGCTGACAGAATCCGTATGAAGTGCTTAATTAGGTTACCATACGCATATGGCTTGGAGATCCCATCATCAACCACTCCAAGGATGTGGGGCTCAGATAGTTTCCAAGAGAACTTTTCCTACAATACAATACAAAAAGAGTTAAAATAAAAATATTTACGCTTTATCATTTGGATTGATATTCACATGCATTAACATTGGCATGCATTATTATTGGTATTTTTGTTGGCATTGCATTGGCATTGGTATGTATTGCCATTGGTATTGACATGCATTGACATTGGTACAGAGGGTATTGGTATTTGCATGTACTGACATTGTTATTGATATTGACATGCATTGGCATTGGTATACTGTAATCCCCATGAGTATCATTATTATTATTATCATTGTGCACCGATACCTGTCTCTTATACACATCTAGATGTGTATAAGAGACAAACTCTGTGTTTTCGACTTCCCTCCTAGAGACAATAAATAAAAGATGTTTTGATTATTTAAAATTTCATGACAACACATCTTATATAATCTTTCTACAAAATGGAACAATCAGAGATTTACTTTACTAGTGAACATCTGAAACTTTCATTATTGTTTTTCTTATGCACATTCTAGGGTTTATTCTAATCTCTGGGCTTGAGAAAAGACACAGAGTTGTAAGGGTACCTGGATAGGATGTTGGTTTCCAGTGTTGTTTTGGAACCAAATCTGGGTCCCAACAGATGAAGTACTTATCGCCATCCAGGTCACTTCCTGCAATTTCGTCACAGTGGGGTCTTTTTCCTGAATTATAAACACATTTATTAT